AGACGCAGCAAAACGGAACCACGAAAGCACATATGTCTTTTTTTTTTCTTTTTTAGGTGATGTAGGAGTGTAACAGGTGATTGTAGGTCTCCTCACTTTGGCTGCACTTTCTGCACTAGTTCAAGAAAGCTGCACTTTGGCCCTCGATTTGGCGAGTGCAGCTTGCGGCACCTGCGCTTCTGCACTAGATATGACGTCGTGCTGCGCGAATTCATCGGCATCTCAGCAGTAGCTTTTAATCAATCAACCAGTCGATCAGTAAATTAATCAATTAATCAATCAGTTTATTTGGCATTCGTTACAGCAAGATAACGAACACGAGGACAAAAACAAAAAGCTGCTGTCAAGTAGCTTGACAAAGGTTCTTGCCCTGATTACTGACAGTCGAAGAAAACAACGTACCAGGCATATAAACATCTCTTGTTCTACATTTCCACTAAACGTTTCTGGCCCTCATATGTAGCAGAGTAGTTAACAAATGTAAAGGATATATATCAAAAGTAATACTATGATGTACACTGTTTAGTTGCATAAAACAAAAAAAAATGTAAAACAGTGCATCACAATGTGGACATAATGTAGAGTAAGGACTGTGCACAGATTATTTAACACAAATGATACAAATTTGTATACGCTGTACCGACTGATAAGCATTAGTATATGCACATCATAACTGTGCTGGTACAAAGAAGTATCTGAACAAGTCAACTTCGAGAAAACTCATAATTTTAGAACGGAACAAGTTGCGGGACTTGTAGTCTCATGCACGTAGCTCGAGCTATACGGCGTGGCTGTCCTCGGCTGGACTGCTGCAGCGAAATCACTTGTGTCGTGGGCAGCAACGCTAGAGTAACTAGTGCAGCCCTGGCCCTACACTTTCGTGAACTACGTCCAGAGATTAGAGTTGAATCGAGGATACCTTATGGACGCACCTAGGAAGCGTTCGTTCAAGACATGCCCAAAAGGGAGACACTTGATGTGTTCAGCGAGCATTCCATTTTCTTGATATCCCTGGCGGTCGATGCCGCCTATGCTGAGGCAGCACGCAACAGCGCCTTCGTGCTCTCTGGTCAGTGTCGGGTGCCTCAAGAACTATTAATCCTTTTTTGGAAGAAATATACTTTCTCAGTGCGAAAGGAACGCTTAATAAAGAGGAAAGAAAGGACAGAGCGCACCTGTCCTTTCTCTCTTCTTTCTGAAGCGTTCCCTGCACACTAACAAAGTATATTTCTTCAAAAATACATTACCAACCAGCCCAAGTAGCCACTGTTTTGCAACTGTTTATAGCTTCATGCTTGATGGCGTGCGGATTCGTACTTTCAAGTATGACCATGCTAATGATGATTCCTGCGAATTCGAAATACTGGTGCGGACCTGTGATTCAAGGACGGTGTTAGAACCGGGGATGCCTCAGGTCATGCCCGCGACGCCAATGTGTTATTTATCAATGATGGTTGGACGACTCGATCTGACGTATCGGAACTGCGTCGTCCAAAGAAAGTATTGGCTGTTCTGGCACAAGACAAAAATATTGAGTAAAGATCAACCTATAATGATGTTGGCGGTCCATGGCCTTAAACTTTGAAACCGATCGCTCTGCTTCTAAAAGAAAGCACAAGGATATGGTGTGTTCGTATTTTACTGATCGATCATCGAAAATCAAGTAGACACAGGAAATCAGCATTTTCATTAGCGACAAAACAAGCAGGCTGCCCTCACGTTTTAAGTCCACACTGCATAGATGAATCGTGCAGACGACATTCTCTCGCGTATTTAGGATCGTCGCGTCGCGCTGCGGCTTAGTACCTTGCAGACTCCGCCTCCTTCACTTTTCTCTCAATTTCTCTACACATATCGAGAGATCACAGCGAGTGCATGCGACAGTTCTGGCGTGCCGGAAAAATTGACGTCTGTGAGTGCGACCGATGTCATACCGAATTCTGCTCTAATTTTCGTCTTAGTTCAAGCCCCTAAGCTGCTGCGATGCAAAGCTTGAGAATGCACCTCCCAAGCCCGGCCACGACAACTGCATTTCGATGAAGACGAAATGGACAAACACCCTCGCACATGCTCAGATTCGAGTGCACGTTGAAAAAAACTTGATTGGGTTGAAATTGATCAGAAGTTCCCCACTACGGCAAGCTTCATAAAGAAAGTCGTCGTTTTGGCACAAATGCCAGGATTTAATTCCTTTCAAACTATCAATGCTAATTTACTGCGTATCAGACTGTTATACGTGGAAATAAAAGCACTAGCAATCGTGTATATTTCAGAAGGTTCTCCGGTGGCTGATAATCGGTGAAGGACTGCTGATCACGCGCCACAATTGCAAACAAAGCCTAAGCTTGCATCTGACGTATACTGCGTACATGCCAAGTAATTTCTCTGCCATGCCTATTCAGAAGAATGGCGGAGGAGCAAAGTCATCGCTCCATTGTGCCTGTCTTGCCAGCAAACCAAATTCATAACCAAGCCCAGAAACATTGCAACGACATATGGTATCCGCTGTACTATGTACGGGCATTATACGTACGTCCCATAAAGAAACAGTGTTTCTTTTTTGACACGACTTGCGACACTACGAGAAAACCCACGAACACTTCCTTCTCGGATTCCCAGTTTTCAGCACTTGCGGTTGCTAAAAAAAAAAAAAGTTCCATCAGGCGCTGGTCAGGTCTGCCCGTATCAACATGCTCATGAGAGGAGCCCACTGCATGCTAGTCACGTGTCACACTACTTTTAAAAAGTTCAGCCAATCAGCTTGATTTTTCTCAAACTTCAGTCAGCGATTGCCCCCTCCTGAACGCTATTTAATCCCAATATGAGAAACGTTTGGGTAGTGGAATACTTTTCAACTAAGGTACAATGCATTTACAAATATTTCGGTAAAAAGAGAGACAGAAATAAAGATTTTAGTTGGTTTACAGACACTTCTGAAGCCGCATACATGCTAATCAGTCTAAGAAAGGGAGATAAGCGATAAATGTTTTTACACCACGACGATTACATTTGCCTTATCTGCCAATACCACGACCACATATTTTCGGCGGCAGCATTCGTATGTGTGTGATATCAGAAGATGCCATATGATGTAATGTGGCCTAGTGTACAGTACATTCCTCCGGTTGATTTCCCTTGAACTGGCTTGGGGATCCTTTTAAGGCGTAATCTGATACCCCGTGTATCTTTTTCTACGTGCGGTATTTACTAATCTTTACGTGACTATTAAAAGTAATCGTACGACAGGGCAATCAATCTTTTGTAAAACGGCCAGCTATGCAAGGCTTTCAATGTTGGCTTTCTTTTCATGCTTGATATGACACGTTTTCAAGTCTTAAATACTTGGCCTTTGCTGAAAACCTCTACACAGCCACCGTCACCCTTCTGGCTCATGCGGTTGAAAAGGCGTCCTTGTAATCCAAACGATTTTCCGATAGCAAAAGCGTCCGTTAGACCTTGATGCCCTTGGAGATAAACTTTTCTTATAGCACTGATCATAGCTGCTTTAGAAGGAGCTCTCTCTTCTGACTGAATGCACGTGACTGTTGTTCGGCGACACTCGATAAGTACCTCATTCGCAAGTGCCGAATGTCTGTATAGAACGAACACTAAAGTGTTGTGAACATTGGTGTTCTTTGAACACTCCTGTTGCGTTCGACTATTCATAGTGTAAAAACGAGGCTGACTCGAGGTTTTTTTATAAATAGTCTTTTTTCTAACCTGGCAAAATCTAACCTGTGCTCCTTATCGTGTTTCGAGTTCTTCTAACTATAGTAAAGCTTAAAAGGGTACTAGTGTGGCCTACAATCAGTTCATTCATGGTAGAGCTGAATTTGGGGGTCCGAAATCAACTGTCGGATGCAGGCGCCTAGCCAAATAGTTTTTTTTTCGGCGGGGAGAAAGGGCACTGCTTTGATTTTGTGAAGGGCACCCACTTGAAATGGTAATTTTTTACTCGGTATATGCTATATATATAGCGAAAATTTCCGGCGGGGGGGGGGGGGGGGGGGGTGTATGGAATCGGTGTGCCACCTCCTAACTACCATGCTATCGCAGTCTGATGGCTAACTGCGAAAGCATGGCTTCCTTGGGGCTACCGCGGAAAGGGATCTTGCAAATTCAATGCGGCTGCGATGAACGGGCACAGATTGTAATTGTCCCTCTTGTTTGAATATCCTTCGGTGTTGCATATTTGATATTCCCTTGTATTCAGTGTGATGCAATAGTGACTGCACGAGTGCACTGATGGCTGTTCTTTGTAGATATTGCCGCGGACATGGAACGAGATTGGGTCATGTCACTATGTGTATGTGGCTTGGTGAGTAACAAGAGGGGAGGAGGACGATAAGCTCGTGTCACTGGGGACCAGTTCGACTCGACGTCCAGTGCTCCTGTGGACAGAGATTGTTCTATTCCTAATCACGTGACAATATCGTGATGTTTCTCAGGCTACGTCACACATGTGCGCGCATAGGTGTGTCTTCCGCCTTCATGTTAAATTCATTTCAAAGTTCGCTCTTGCATCTGTTTTCCACCTGTTCCACGTGCTTGAAAAGGGTCGCAAGTAACTAACTATACCGTAATAGTCAAGCTTTTGCTATGCTCGGATGATTTCTCGGATTTGGGGACGCTACGCGGTCGTATCACCGGCACATGCATGGGGTCCCTGATTTCGCACCCCCACCCTGGGCAACAAAGGATACTCCTTACCAAATCAGCGAGTCGGCCGAGCAAAGAAAGCGTGAAATAGCATCTGGGGTCATCGCGCGCTCGCTTTTGTGTGCGCGAAAGTGCCGGCATGTATAGCTGAATCCGAGCGATAGGGGTCACTTGGGAAGTAAAAACAGCACAAAACTATAGACAAGGACAGAGGAAGAGACAGACACCACGCTGTCGACACCACGGTAGGGGTCAGCGTGATAGGGTGGTAGTGGTTAGAAGATGAGAAAAGGCACCTAATTTCTGCAACCCGGTCGGGAGCACGGCGCAGTGCCTAAAGGTGCCATCAGCACTCGGTGTTCCCAGGTGGTCTCCCTCCCAAGTACTGACCGAGCCCAATGCTGCTTAGCTTCAGGTGATCGGACGAGAACCGGCGTATTCAGCATGGTATGGCTGATGGCACACCGTGATAGGGGTCAGCCATGCGCTAAGAGCGCCCAGCGTATCACTGAGTGGGTCTATAGGTGAACATTGGTTATCGCTAAGATACCCCTGCGTTCGAAGTAATGGTCTACAAGCCAGTGAAAACCAGGAAAAATTGCTTGACATGTCGCGTTTAACGTCCCAAAACCATTATATGATTATGAGAGATGTCCATAGTGGAGGGCTCCGGAAAGTTAGACCACCTGGGGTTCTTTAACGTGCACCCAAATCTGAGCACACGGGCCTACAACATTTACGCCTTCATCGGAAATGCAGCCGCTGCAGCCGGGATTTGGTCCCGTGACCTGCAGGTTAGAAGCCGAGTACCTTAACCACTAGACCACCGTGGCGGGGAAACTCAAGAAAAAAAAATGGCTCTATAAATGTCCTGAAGGGAAGAAATGCTTAAGGAATGAAGAACAGCGCTTAGAGACGGGACAAAGACACAAACTTTCGTCCCGTATTTCAGCGCAGTTCTCTTCTGGAAATCATCAAAAAACCAGCTCAAATGCGCACCCTACTGCAGCTGTGCAATGTCGCTGGTAAACGTGTCCACGGATAGCTAGCTGTTGCATGCTTGCAGTGACAACGACGAGAGGCATCTTTGACAGTAGTTGTCGCATTGCGCTAGATGTCCTATCCTCGCTCTGGGGATCGCACGCCGCCCATGACGAGACAACCACGTCACTGAGGCGACGCGCCGGAACAAAGGAAATACGAGGCCCGCACGCGACAAGAGCGCTAACAGGCACCCGGGCAAGTGTCGACATTGCGCGCGCTGCCGTTGGCGCAAAGCCTTCGACACGGAGGACGCTATATAGCCGACGGACACTGATGCCTCTGATCCCTTCGTTCGTTGAGGTTGGCGGCGTCGGCCTTGGCGGCGGTCGTCGGCGAAGTCGCACGTCGAAGGCCCATGATTGGCCTACAAAAGAAGAAGAAGAAGTTCCCCAGGGGTGCACAACAATGCGAAGCTCGCTTTCTGTGATGATGCTATCAGCCACGTCAGCGCCGGGGGCGGAGTTTAGAACACCCGCCGAGGTGAATTTTGATCGGATTAAGCTATAGAATGGAGGCGACATTAGGTGAAAGCAGAGGGAACGGGGCATAGATGAAAGACAGGGATGCGAACTAGCCTTGAAAAACTGGTAAGCTATCTTATGCACTTGCGAGAGGAATGAGGAAGAGTGGGATAAATGGAGAGAGAGAAAGGAAGAGAGGCAGGAGAGCATGCACACACAAAGTTACACTCCTCGGACACAATAAGTGCCGATATATCTATTGTTTTAGAACCACCGGCGCAAGTTTGTGGCCCGAAATAATTTTAGCAACGCTTACGTCGTCTGCAAGCCCAATCACTTCCCCGGAAGTAACGGAGCAAAGTACACCAAAGTGGCTGTCTCCCACTATAGTGAGGACACCTCAACAACAAGGTACAGGGAAAGAGTGGGAAAGTTTTATAACAGAAGGAGAGAGGTGATTTGAACAACCTTCTGTAGAGGGCATCCACACATCCACCGATAACAAAGAGACGAAAGTCGAGATGGCAGAAAGTCGGATTAGTATAACAAGCCCGCGCTTTCCTCGAGATAATCATGTCTGATTTCCCACCCAACTAGTGGACATACCTCAGTCAAATACAGTAACTACAAGTTGTTGTATCACAAATCTGAGTTTTTATACGGCATATCCAAATATTGCAAATCTGCAATATGTTACTTGAGCATGCTTGATTGCGGTGGTGGTGAACATTTTTATTCGAACCAGCGGTTCGAGGCGTGGGCCTATATAGGCCGCGTCAGGAGTGGTGGAGAGAGGTTGTCTCTCAGCTGCCTCCCGTGCTCGCTGGATAGCCCATATTTGATCTAGCTAATCTTACCTGCTCATTTTAATTGTGATGAAAAATACATTTCACGAAAACGGAGATATAAAAGTGAGGAAAGCGATCCCGTATCTTTCACTTAATGGCACTTCATTTTCTCCTCTTTTCTGTATCCCACTTTTCACGATGTGTGTACCTTGCGTCAAGGTCAGGCGTACCTAAAACAACCTAAACACCCGCTCGCGCCATTCTAGATAGGTCTATTTCAAATATGTCACGCGGCAATTATTTGTAGGAGAAAATGTCGACCAGCTTGCATTGTTGGAAGTGTCATTAGCGAAGGCGTCGGGCAAACCGCTTAAGCACGCTTACGAGTATTTGCGAATATCGGCTGCGAAGCTTATTTATTATTTCATTTTCTTAACGTCCGATGAATATCTCGAGTGAGTGCGACTGGCGCTATAGCGGCATACGCCACTCCCGACAACTATGTCTTCGGTGATAAGGCGCGAAGCAAATAGTGAAACGAAGGCATATACCATGAAGCAAGTAAACACAAAAGCAAAAGACAGCAACGATCATGAATACATGCATGGTAGTCAGTTTCGGCCCGATAACCTCCTTTGATACCGCTCCTCTTACAATTCTGAGATCTACGCGTGGCTTCATCTTGGGAACCCGGTCGTCCATTGGTGCCAGATCTTTCATGCAAGGAATTGTTGCCGGATCTACCAAGCATTTGGCTCGGTTTGCTTGCAAGAAGCTTCACATACAGGCACCGACCGCCACAGTTACAAGCCCGGAGGGGAAAAAATAAATCTTCGCGCAACGCTCTTCGCTTCGTGTGTGCGGTCTTAATGAAGTATACAAGGAAGAGTGCCAAACGACCGTACTTCCCAAGCGTCGTTTAATTAGTAGAGGCGCCAGCTCTCTGAAGGGGGTGTCAACTTAGCCGCACACACAGATAGAAAATTTAGTCATTTGAGTCGCGGCGCACGTTGAATTGAGGTGCGTGATTCCCCAATATTCATCCCTCCTCCCATGCACATAAGGATTTGATTGATTTATGGGGTTTAACGTCCCAAAACCACCATATGATTATGAGAGACGCCGTAGTGGAGGGCTCCGGAAATTTCGACCACTTGGGGTTCTTTAACGTGCACCCAAATCTGAGCACACGGGCCTACAACATTACCGTCTCCATCGGAAATTCGAACCCGCGAACTTCGGGTCAGCAGCCGAGCACCTTAGGCACTAGACCACCACGGTGGGGCATGCACATAAGGAGGGGCCACATAAAACTGCCACAATAGATTTATTATTATTATTATTATTATTATTATTATTATTATTATTATTATTATTATTATTATTATTATTATTATTATTATTATTATTATTATTAGTAGTAGTAGTAGTAGTAGTAGTAGTAGTAGTAGTAGTATTTGATTTCATTTTGTATACACAGCTACACAAAGACCCACAGAAAGGAGGGACAGAGCAAGTTGGCAACTATACCAGATGGAGGAACGCGACGCCTGCCTGGTCAATCAATGCAAAACAACTATAAACTGTCGGTTGCCTCTGAACTGGTGATAGTCCTATCTAGTCATCTCCAGCATTACTATGAGCCTGATTGGGATTCACGTTTATACTCAGGTCTACTCACCGGAATTCATAAGTCATGTCGTTCATACGCCATTTCAGTATTTGTTGATCAGAGGCAAAACTTCCATAGTGGGGCGTCTTAATCCCCCCCTCCCCGGGAACTATTCCACGGAAGTTATTGATAAATATATGTTATGCTCTCATCTCTTTCAAGAAAAATGACGTTGCTGGCTTGCAAGCACTCAGAGCTCGTTTTCCACATGCAATGTCGAGCGACGCTAAGAATAGCACTGATTACGTGAGATATTGGTGTTAAAAAGCACTGACACCATTCGAAGAAGCTAATTTCAAGCTAATGGATTCATGAGCCGACTCATTGGGACTCGCCCAGGCTCAAATTGAGCCGTGGAGTCTGAATGAGTCCGAATGACTAGCGTTTTGGTGAGATCGAGTCCGATTGAGTCCGGCTTTAGAAACTTTTTTTTTTTTGAGTCTGACTCTGATTGAGTCCGAAGCTCGAACGATATTTCATGAGTTAGCCTGGGCGAGCTCCAAAAATATTGTTGACATATTGATGATCCTAACGTTTTCGTAGGTATAGACCCTTTCAAGGTTTATAAACACAGCCCTTTGATGACTTCTGGTTCTGTCCACCTATGTGCTCTATTAGCATTGGGGGAGCACAAGAGCTTTAGAATATAGCCTACTCATTTTCTACAGGTTCCTTCCCTTATTTGGCAAAATATATTCAAATAAATGTCGTTTTGAGTTACATAAAAATTATGAAACATTTCCTTGTACTTTCCGCACGTTTCTTTAGGTGAAAAACGAAAGAAAGACTTTTCTTACGCTTGAAAAGAAATCGAAAACGTGTTTTTAGTTTTGACGGTAGGAGCTGGTAAATGTGGTGACCGGAAGTTTTTATTTTTTTTCGGGTACAACGCTTGTGACCTTGAAACCGTCCACTTGATGACTTCTGGTTTTGTCCACCGATGTATTTAATAACATTGGTGGATCACGAGATCTTTAGAAAATAGCCCACTGATTTTCTACAGTTTTCTTCCCTTATTTGGCAAAATATATTCAAACAAATGTTCTTTTGAGCTACATGAAAATGGTAGAACATTTCCTTGTACTTTTCGCACGTTTCTTTTAGGTGAAAAACGAAAGAGAGACTTTTCTTCCGCTTGAAAAGAAATGGAAAACGTGTTTTTAGTTTTGACGTTAGGAGCTGGTAAATGAGGTGAACGGAAGTTTTTTTTTTTTTTTCAGGTACAACGCTTGTGACCTTGAAACCGTCTATAAGATTGAAGGACAGACAATGGACACCACCCTGTCAGTTTATTGTTCTTGTTTGTTTTGTTTTGTTTTACAGCTCTCCTCTCTGCAATGACGTTTATTGGCACAGCGCAAAGCACATTCCATTCGGCGAACCCCTGAAACCTTTAGACTATAGTACGCGCACAACGAGGTACGTACACGGTGTTAAACTTCCGTGTACGGTAGTTAGGGGGGGCTTGCAACGCTGTCGCGTTGCTTACGCGTGAG